AAAAAAGGAGACGTTTAGCAGAATGTTCACGCTGCTCTTTTCAATACAAAAAGCTCCATACAAGTAGCTTGTACAACTTGTGCTACATTCCAAATCTTCTCCAATCCATTAAGTCATAAGTGCAGTCACATTAGCATAAATTAGTCAAAATCGTATATTGTCAATAGTATAAGTGACGTAAGAAGCACAGCTCACACAGAAGTCACTTTCAAACCAAGCAGCTTTCTTCTGGTTAATTCGATGAATCCATGTGACAAGTGTGAACCCGTTGCAAAATCTGCATGAGGAAATCATTCACCCTCAAAGCAAAAGTTTTTCACTATAATTATTGCCCTCTGCCTTTAAAATCTCATTTGCAGATATTCTGATATGCTGTATGAAATGAATTTAACGTCCGTGATGTTGGACATTCTGAAATGCGAATGAGATTTTAATATTAGACTTAAATATTGCTGTTTTTGTCTCACACAGCTATTTTATGACTCTGGAAGAAATGGAATATAGTAACTTAATAATATGTAAATCAGTCATATGAACTTTTTTTCTGGCACTTGTCGTTTCTTGGCTCTTTTTCGAGCTGCAGCTTTCATTGTATGGAGAAGTGTAGCTCCTTTTTTTGTTTTACGCAAGAAAAAAAAAAAAAGGCATTCAATTTTTGAATGGTAGGGGTGTACGATATTGACCAAAAGTAATATCTCAATATTTTCTGGGATTTTATCGATAACGATAAAAGACAGTATTTTGCTGAGTGCGTTAGTGTGCTGGTATCTTAAGGACTGCCGTGGACAGCTGACTCCTAAAGCTTTTGATATTCTTCATATTCTGTGTGGTGGTCAGTTCACACTGATAGAAATGAATCTTTTCCAATAAGTTTAAACTGATTTTTTACATTTCATGGGCATATTTACCTTTATAAAGCCATTTTTTCTAAAAGTGTCCATATCAGTGAATTGTGAATTATCAGTATCAACAAAATGCATCTTTGCAATGCAAAGGAAACACAGAAGCTTCATCTGAAGTGGCATTTAGATGTATTTACACACTGTTTAATGCAGGACATGAATGCATTTAACCTGCAATTACAAATGCATAAATAATATTTTGATATAGGCCTATTAAACATAACATGTTGAATATTGCTATTTGAAGAATTTAAATAATAAAAAGATACTTTAAATGTGAAATTAAAACCGCCAGTAGGTGGCAGCAAGTCGCTGTTAATAAGCGAGTCATTGCGATTGATCCGAATCATTTAAATGGTTGATTCATTCATGAACGAAACACCGTTATTTGCTCAGAGACTCAAAACAGTGCTATAATTTTTTGTTGTCGAAATACCACATAAACAAGAAATATGGTGTCTAAAATGTAAGTCTCTTACTTAACTTCTTGTTTATTGAAATCAAGAATCACATTTGTAATCATGGTAAATTTTGGAGAAAAAAACGGCACTCTTCGTTTTAAATTGATTAACTATAAGAAGTGGTATAAATATATACCATTTTCTGCCCCCATGTCTTTCTTTTGTGATCATTCTAAATGTATTTTAATAGACTGAATCATGCAGTGAAAGAACACTCTAAATGCACTAGTCTAGACTTCTCGTAATGTATGGGTGCTTTGAATGGTGTGAAAAAAACACCTTTTGTAAGATGTGTTTTGATTGGTTTTTGCAAAATACTCGATAATGTCAAATCGCACATTGTTAAAACAACAATTACCATGTTATCGCAGACGATATATATCGCACACCCCTACATGGGTGAGTAAATAATGCCAAAGAACCTTTCAGCGAATCTTCGTTTGAAGAACATTTAAAAAATCTAAATAAACTTTTCCACTACCTTTTTTGTGGAACGAAAAAATTATACACTCAAACAAGGTTTGAAAACCAATTTAGGACCTTTAACTGAAGGACATTTTAACAATCTAAACTTTTTCCACCATAAAGAACCTTTTGTTCAATAGAAAGGTTCCATGGATGTTAAAGGTTCTTCATGGAAGGTACCATCAATGCCAATAAACTATCTTTATTTTTAGGAATGTATTTAACTGGCTGGGATTTGTCATTAAGTAAACCCTAAATCTGAATTGAATTGAACTTTCAGGAGTCAGTGGAGACGTATGATTTCCCTGACCAGATTAAACTAAGAAACGACAAACCGGTGTCTAGCAGTGATGGCTGCAGCTGCTGAAGGAAAGACTAAACTGGGGAAGGCAAGAGAACGAGCCAACATGGGAAATGGAGAAAGCGAGATGGAAAAGATCCAGGCCTGTTGCTCTAGCGCCCATCCTCCTTTGAAACCTCCAGGGTATCAAATGCCACGTGTGAAAGCTGAACATCCATTTTCTTGCTGAACTCCAAGTAAACGTGTGGTATGATGAACTATTGAGGAACAGGAACCTCTGACATTACATTTATTACGAGTTCTGCTATCACTACAGCTGTCCCGAGAATTCCCTGCTGTCTGTGCAATTTGATTTTCTTTTCTCAGAAATTATCCTTTGCTCTGCTAGTTCATTGTGCCTTTTTAATTTGTACTATTGGTTATTGTTATCAATAATTATTTATATTAATTGAAATAAAGCTGAAAAAAAAAAAATTTAAACCAAAAATAAGTTTAACCTTATTCAGCCAAGAATAACAACCAAGTTAGCTAAAAAAAAACAAAAAAGCCCAGAACTGCTTTTCTGACTGATATGACACCAACATTTGTTTACACCATAGCTTCTCAGTAAAATACACATGCAGAAATGGCTTAGGAGCTCTTTAGATCAGTTATGTTAATTTGATTTATCATTCAAAAATTATCATGGAAATCCCAGTTTCACATTTCAAATGTTTTAAAATTACAAAAAGTAGGTATTGTTTTTATTAGTGTCTGCATATATAAAAATTATTAAATATATTTACCCGTGTCTATGTAAGGAAAAGGTATGGAAAACATGCATAGATTTTTTTAAACTGTATTTTTTACTTTTTACATAAGCTCCACTTCACAAAATTGCTGTTTGTTTGAAATTATAGTTTCTCTAGATAAATAAATCAGGGCATCGTCTATTGTCAGAAGATAAACATATCAAACTGATTTCTTCACTCATCTCCCAGCCCTACTAGTGTCATGAATATACACAAGTGAGTAAGGATGTGCTAACAGTGTATTAACTTGGACATGAGGGTACTGGGATCTTCTAGGTTGACTTCAACATTAAATCTGAGAATATTTTAGTCTTAGTTGGACTGTAAGGACTTCTGAAAGTGTTTTAAGCCACTTGATTGTTTCTGTAACATATTTCAACCATGCCAGTTATAATGGTTTACAAAAGATGTACGTTTTTGCACATATAGCTGTTGAGTATGTAAATGTGAGAAGCACACTAATGAGGTTACGTCATGCTTAACTCAGTGTTTTGATTTGCCATTGGACAGTTACATGTTATGCTTGTATTCATTAATATATATACCCATACTCAACCTAGGAGCTCCTCAATTATATAGGCCAAAATGCAAAAAAAATCAAATTAATTCAGGCATCATTTTTATTTGGGCCAAATGTAAGAGAAACACCAAAACCAAAAAAAAGAATGATGCATTTAAAACCAAGCTGGCTGTTAATTCCAAATAAATAAATAAAAAAACTGATAAAGAACACTTTTTATTGTACTTTAATAATTTGCACACAATATTTACAAAGTTGCACTAAAAGCACCTCTGGTTTCCTCTGATGGGAAAGCAACGGTAAGCATTGTGGCCTCTTGAAGATCAGAGAGGCCCCTAAAAGTCCATATGAAATACATCCCACTCCCTGACTGGTCCGTTTCCATCAGTTTAGTGTTTCAGTCCATGTATGAGGTATCCATGCCCTCTGTCTCTGGATGCAGCAGACGACTGGCCAGACGCTCAATGTCATCCAGACTCAGCTGTCTGAGCGAGCGTTCATAATCCTGACAACAAGAAAAAAAAATTATTACATACAAAAAGATGTGCCAATATTCTAATCATGACCAATGATTTTATCTTTTTTTACAGTGCTCATTTCTTACATATCTAACAAATTTACTGTTATTTGATTCTGCTTTCTAAAGTCTGAGGAAATCATACCGCTGCAAGATTAATCTTTAATGAGTCGAAAAGAACGCATGTCACACCTCTGTTCATCAATTTGTACTGGCTACCAGTAGCTGCTCGCATTAAATTCAAGGCATTAATGTTTGCCTACAAAACCACCAACTGGCTCTGCAACCCTTTACCTAAATTCATTACTTCAGAGTTATGTGGCCTCTAGAAGCTTGCGTTCTGCAAGTGAACAGCGTATTATTGTGCCATCTCAAAGAGACACAAAATCACTTTCACAGACTTTTTCATTAACTGTTCTCTCCTGGTGGAATGACCTGCCCAAATCAATCCGAGCAGCTGAGTCCTTAGCCATCTTCAAGAAACGACTAAAAACACATCTGTTCCACCTTTATTTGACCCTCTAACACTTTCTATTCTATTTTAATTCTACTCTATCTATATTTTAACTTTTTTTATTAAAAAATAAATAAAAATAAAAAAAACGAACAAACACTAGTTTTCTATTTGATCTACTTGTTTTTCCATTGTTTTCCACACACAGCGTTAGGCTAACCGAGACTTGTCATTTGCACTTATACAGTGGTGTGAAAAAGTGTTGGCCCCCTTCCTGATTTCTTATTTAAAAACTGCATTTTGTATTTACTTGCATTATCTGTGTAATATTAAAATATGTTTGATGATCTGAATCTTTTAAGTGTGACAAACATGCAAAAAATAAAAAAAAAACAGGAAGGGGGCAAAAACCTTTTCACGGCACTATCTGTGAGCAGCAAAATTATGTGAATCTCTAGGATTAGCTGTTAATTTGAAGATGAAATTAGATTCCATCTGTTCAGAGCTGTTTTTAATCAGTGAGATGACTATCAGGTGTCAGTGTGTGCCCGGTTTTATATAAAGAATAAGAACTGAGGTTAATATCTTTTTTTTTCTTGTTGTCAGGATTATGAACGCTCGCTCAGATTAGGTTACTTTGTATTTCATATGGACTTTTAGGGGTTACTTTGTATTTACTTGCATTATCTTTGTGTAATATTTAAATTTGTTTGATGATCTGAAACATTAAAGTGTGACAAACATGCAAAAAAATAAGAAATCAGTTTTTAAATGATTTCATTTATTAAGGGAAAAAAGCTGTCCAAACCTACGTGGCCCTACGTGAAAAATGTATTGCCCCCTCCTGTTAAATCATGAAAGAACAGCAATTAACCACATTATTTTAGAAAGCTGAGTTAAATTTCACTAGCCACACTCAGACCACACTCAGACCTGATTACTGCCAGACCTGTTGAATCAAGAAATCACTTAAACAGAACCTGTCTGACAAAGTGAAGCATGCTTAAAGAGCAACACATTATGCCACGATCTAAAGAAATTCAAGAACAGATGAGAATCAAAACAGTTGACATGTACCAGTCTGGAAAGGATTATAAAGCCATTTCGAAGGCTTTGGGACTCCAGTGAACCACGGTCAGAGCCATTATCCACGAATTGAGAAAACTTGGAACAATGGTGAACCTTCCCAGGAGTTGCCGGCCAACCAAAATTACTCCAAGAGCACAACAACGACTCATCCAAGAGGTCATAAAAGAACCCAGAACAACATCTAAAGAACTGCAGGCCTCACTTGCCTCAATTAAGGTCAGTGTTCATGATTCAACAATAAGAAAGAGACCGGGCAAAAATGGCATCCATGGGAGAGGTCCAAAGCAAAAGCCACTGCTGACCAAAAATAACACAAAGGCTCGTCTCATTTGCCAAAAAATATCTTGATTATCCCCAAGACTTTTGAGCAAATATTCTGTGGACTGATGAGACAAAAGTTGAACTTTTTGGAAGGTGTGTGTCCCGTTACATCTGGCGTAAAACCAACACAGCATTTCATAAAAAGAACATCATACCACTGCAAAGAAGAGTGGGCCAAAATTCTTCCACTGCGCTGTAACAGACTCATTGCCAGTTATCGCAAACACTTGATTGCAGTTGTTGCTGCAAAGCGTGGCACAACCAGTTATTAGATTTAGGGGGCAATTACTTTTTCACGTAGGGCCAGACAGGTTTGGGCAGCTTTTTTCCCTAAATAAAATAAATAATCATTTAAAAACTGCATTTTGTATTTACTTGCATTATCTCTGTGTAATATTAAAATTTGTTTGATGACCTGAATCTTTTAAGTGTGACATATGTAAAAAACAGGAAGGGGGCCAACACTTTTTCACAGCACTGTATATTGTTGCTCTTTTGTTAGTTTTGACTGCTTCTATTGTCCTCATTTGTAAGTCGCTTTGGATAAAAGCATCTGCTAAATGACTAAATGTAAAAAGAAATAGAAAAAAAAAGACTTTTTTCCAAACTATTGCAATAGAATTTGTTTTTGTCTTGAACGTACCTTAATAAGCTGCTCCTGCACTTTGGCTGCATCGGCTGGGCTGAAATGTTTGGCCAGGACAGTTGACAATAACTGCCACACACCACTGCCCGCTTTATCAGGACTACCGCTGCTGTTTCCCACCGCACCGCTCCTCTCGCCCGCCGGACGCACCACCAGATTCAGCTTGGCCTCCGGGCCGATGCAGTAATCACTCAACCGGTGTTCATCTGAAAACAGCAAATCAAGCCTCACAACGACGAACACAACACACCTCATGCGATGGCTGGAACGCTGCCAGTCAAAGTCTCAGAGAAACACTGCAGGAGGAGATCAGGTTAGTGCTACCCTAAATGATAAATGCATGCTTACTAATCAACATCTGACAAAAAAAAGCTTTTACCTGCAAGTGCTTTTCCTTTATACAGCAGTCTCTGCTGACTGGGAGGGATGTTTAAACGCTCGGATACCAGCACTTTTACTGTTGATACCTTTTCATTTTCTGTCACCTGTGCATGAAAAGAACACAACTGTTAACAAAAGCACTGCATATTTCAATTCACTGACACAGTTCATTCAAATCTCTATCTATCTATATATACATACATACATACATACATACATACATACATATACACACACACACACACACATATATATATACATACATACATACATACATACATACATACATATATATATATGTGTGTGTATACATCCTATATTTAAATAACTGAACTGATATACACACGGCTTTCTGTGTGACATATTAACTGAGGTTAATATATATTCTCATATAGGTAACGTTAAGCAACTCAATAGGTTTGGTGACAAGCTACCACTGTGAGAGAGTAAACCATGTCTAGTGAGCTACAGCAGAAATAAGCGCGTGTATCTTTATCTATGGACATAATGAACAGAACGATGAAAACAAAGCGCTAAGCTAAAGCAGCTAACAGCCCTATTAGCGCCTCAAAACTCCTCACGACGCTCACGCTTACCTGGACATTACACTCTTTCCCTTGAAGCGGCTTTACTGTGAGAATCATCTTCACATTTATCAACTTAAACACAAGATAAAGAACAGATAATTATCTCGCTGAACACTCGCGAACTATCGGACATGACGTCGATTAGACTGATCTGCGCATGCGCGGGGAATGCTGCGCCTCAGCCAGACCAATGAGCAGGCTGCGCTTTAATGACTTAACCTATCCGATCAACTCAAATCATTCTTTATATAAACACTACGCATCTTTTTATAAATAATACTAACATTTTTATTTTCAATAAAATACTCTGACAACATTTCTAAATCTACAGAAAAAGACAAAGAAAGTCTTTTGCATATTTGGCACACCAAAGAGGAGAGGAGACCTCCAATGTGGGGGGATGGACAACAACAACAAACACTTATCAGATAGACTGCAGTTTGTTAAAGAGACCATAACACTCAGATTCTGGATTAGAATTTAATAAACAGATCAAGGCCACGACACACATGAATAAAGACGCATGATTACTAAGGGAAAATGTTTTATTGAACTGAATCACAACACATTATGAATTATAGAGTCAGTGATGTTCATACAAATTTGTGATATTTTGTCGCTGATTTTTACAGAGAACCTCTGGTTTATTTACGGGGACATTAAATCTTTCCAAAAGCATTGTCTGCTGGAAGCTATAGGCTAGTAAACACTACAAATATGCTAAAATCATGCCCCTTAAATCGAAAAGACACCTCTCCTGAATCTTCAAACTCATTTTAAACACACTGATATGTAATATGCACATAAAACAACATTACTAAGTAATATGCAAAGACATTAATATGTCAAAGTGCTGAAGTTGTCTAAACCAAGGCAAGAAACCCCACACCCAAGCTTTTAGAAATGCGCTGATATATTCTGCAGGCAGATAGTGAATATTCTCCATCAGTCACCCTGACGCAGAAACTCAAATACATACAAAGTTAGAAGCTTCTCTTCATCCTGTACAAGAAAACATATTGCCGTCTAAACAACACAGTCAGCATATCCTAAAGCAGAGGTGTCCAGTCCTGGTTCAGGAGTGTTTCATTAGTGCTGGAGTTAAACGCTGCAGGACGCTGGTCTGCTAACTGTCCAATTAAACACACCTGAACCAGCTAATCGAGGTCTTCGGGGTTCCCAGGAACTTCCAGGCAGCGTGTTGGAGCTGAACTCTGCAGGACGGGACACCCCTAAATTACATGATGAAATCAAAGCAAAGGTTTGAAGTTCTGGAGAGTAGCTGGAGAGAACGAACCGTTGTTCACATGTCAGCTTCTACGAGAGAGAGAGAAAGCGAACAAACATTAGTGTCGTCTATAGATCTCAGCTGATTTCATTCAGAAATAATCATTTCATTTCATTGGTATCATGTGCTTTGTGAAGTGAAATATTGGCTGAAATCCTCAAGATTCAAGAGACATTTAGAAACCAAAATTCAAACAATAAAGAATTTCTATGCATGTAAACTCACTTTTGTCAATTTCATTTGATGCGGACACTAAAATGGGATGTCTTTATATATATATAAATATATATGTATGTATGTATATATATATATAACCAAAATTCAAACTATATATATATATAAAACAGACAAACACAAGCTTTCTATTTTTTCTACTTGCTTTTGTGTGTGTGTGTGTGTGTGTGTGTGTGTGTGTGT